AGCTTGAGGCTCTGTCTCAAAAAAAAAAAAAGAGAGTTAATATTTTATGTTATGGCTGAGAAAATTGAGGATCGGTCAGGTTAACTAACTTGTTCAATTACAAAGTCACTAAATGGTAGAGCTAGGATTTTAATATAGGTCTGCCTGATTGCAAAGCTCACATTTCCCTCACAAAGCTATAATAATGTGTGTAAATTTTCCAGAGGAATGAGGGAGTGTAAGCACACAGAAAGTAATATGGAGACATGAAACTCAGTAACTTCCGTTGCTCAAATGGGCTGTACAGTTTTATGTGGCTTGAATAACTTGCCTAGATTACTGCTGCAGCCTCCTCACTGGCTCCCCTACAGGCTATTCAATACATAGCAGCTAACGTGACTCAAAAAGAAATACAGATAATCACGTCACCCCTCTGTACAGAGCCCTTCAGTGGCAATTCCTCCCTGCACCTCATCCCTCAGTCCTTTGAAGTAACCACAGTATTGCTGTCAGTTTGGTACATATCCTCCCTACTCTGAATGTTCCTTTATAACCTTTTTCTTTAAACAAAAATAGGACCATATTATATGTATTCTTCAAATCTCTTTTTTCTTTGTATTTATAGTTTAATGTCCTGTGTTCTTAACATAAAGAGATATATTATTCCCTTGATACATGTTGTTACAAAGCAGGAGGAGCAAAGCTCTCTGTCTTATTGGTTTCAAATTATATAATAGTGTCTTATGATGTTGATGTATAATGGTGGATTTTGTGTTCATAAAGCAAACGGTGTCTTTCTAACAATTTTTTTATCTATAGCATGAAACAACTTACTTTAAAAAGCACTATCAATGAAATAGTATATTTGTTATGTAGTTAGATTTATCCCTAAAGCAAATGCTTAATTATACATGATATAACAAGTATTATTGAAATACAAGTAATTATTATAAGAATTTCTTAGGGCGGCACCTGTGGCTCAAAGGAGTAGGGCACTGGCCCCATATACCAGAGGGTTCCAACCCTGGCCCAGAAAAAAAAAAAAAAAAAGAATTTCTTCTTTACCATGGTTACACCCAGTTGAAAAGTTTTAACTGCTTTTGCCTCTGCTCATTAATAGAGATACTAAGGCTGTGTAAAGTAAAGAACAAAAGGATTGGCTCGGCGCCTGTGGCTCAACCGGCTAAGGCGCCAGCCACCTACACCTAAGGTGGCGGGTTCGAATCCCCAGCCCGGACCCGCCAAAACAACAATGACGGCTGCAACCAAAAAATAGCCGGGCGTTGTGGTGGGCACCTGTGGTCCCAGCTACTTGGGAGGTGGAGGCAGGAGACTCGCTTGAGCCCAGGAGTTGGAGGTTGCTGTGAGCTGTAATGCCACAGCACTCTACCCAGGCGGACAGCTTGAGGCTCTGTCTCAAAAAAAAAAAAAAAAAAAAAAAAAAAAGAGAACAAAAGGATTGATGACCAGTGTTGGAACCAGAGGACTTGACTAATTAGTATTTCATAAATGAAATGTGCCACTGTGGATAAAGATTGCAAATTATAACCTAAGATTGACTTTTGATGGGAAATGAGTGTATTATTGTTCATTCATTTATTTTATTATAGTTGTTTTGAATTTTAACATGTTAAAGACCTCTTTATTTTTAATTACAGTCTCGAGTTGTAGCAGTACTAGATTGGGAGCTTTCAACTATTGGTCATCCTTTGTCAGACCTAGCTCATCTTTCCATGTTCTACTTTTGGCCAAGGACAGTTCCAATGATAAATCAAGCTTCCTATATTCGAGAAAACACAGGTACAAAAATATAATGTCTAAATTGCTGTAAATATAAAATTGTCTTTTTTATATTCATAAATAAAAAATATAATCTTACAATTGTTAATGATCTTGTAATTTTAGGTAATGGTTTTTGTTTCTTGAAAATATTTCTAATTAATTTTGTTTTTATTAATTTTTCTGAACATAGATGCCTACTTTTAGTAATGTATGCCAAAATGTAATCCTTTGTATGTTATTTTGTGAATTAAGATTTAGAACATGTTTTGTTGCATAGATTAGTGGTTATTACATTCTGTTTTACATATATATGCTATATTATGACATTTAAAAATATTCACTATAATGATATCATATGTTGTTTTTATAGGTATACCATCGATGGAAGAACTGATTTCAATATATTGCCGCTGTAGGGGGATTAATTCTGTTCTTCCTAACTGGAATTTCTTTCTTGCTCTTTCATATTTTAAATTGGCTGGAATAGCACAGGTAATTGTTTAAAACATGTGTTTGAAAGTGGGATTAAGGGCAGCACACGTAGCTTAATGGGTAGGGCATCGGCCACATACACCAAGGCTGGCGGGTTTGAACCCAGCCTGGGCCTGCTAAACAGCAACAACTGCAACAAAAAAATAAGCCAGGCATTGTGGCAGGTGCCTAATGTCCCAGCTACTTGGGAGGCTGAGGCAAGAGAATCACTTGAGCCCAGGAGTTTGAGGTTGCTGTGAGCTGTGACGCCACAGCACTCTACCAAGGGTGACAAGTGAGGCTCTGTCTGATAACCACCAATTAAAAAAAAAAAAAAAGACTCTATCTGAAAATAAAAACAAAAACCTGAGATTAAGAGAGGGCAGCAATCTTTAGAGTTGACATTATTTACTAATGTACATTGACAATGTTTTCTGGTATTTAGGGTTTGTACATTTTTCATTCTTAGACTATTTTGCTTTTCATAATGACAAGTATCAGACATGAATAAAATATAAATCCAGCATTCAAAGAATAAGAATTTGACAAGAAAAATTTAAGTAACAGAATGAGTTATCCCTTTTTTTATGATGAACTTACAAGATGGAAGGAGGGAGAAAGATACAATCACAAAAAGAGGAAAGCATGTGAGGATTAGTCATTTCCTAATTATCTGATGTAAGAAAAAACTAAATCTTTTGATCTCTGCTTAAAACTATAAAACCATGTGTTAACGAGGGCTGACAAGGAGGGGAGAATTATCTTTGTATTTCTTAGAGGCGGGAATAGTACCTAGTATAATATATCCTTCTAATACATTTTTGCATAGGTAGAGGAGTAAAATTTTTCATTTTCTAATAGCCAGTCATATTTATGTGATGAATTTTGAGAGGGAATTGGGTATAAATTTATTGATTTTCTAATTACATTTTAATCTAAACAAATGCCACTGTCTTTATACTAATCCAGTTTTCAAGCACTTTGAATCTTGGAGGCTTAAGAAATTAAGGTGCTTTATCAGTGACAAGAGGTTTTAGGGAAAGAACAGGTAAATAAGAGATTTTAGAAACAAAAATAATGGGAAAAGGAATATTAAGGAAAATTATAATTATTTTTCCCTGTCCTCAGAGTTCATGCTATCCATGAACAACTAGGAAGTATTAGTGTTACATTTCATCCTATATTCTAAGAGTTGATCATGTTCAATAAAATTGGGTTTCTCAAAATGAGTGCGTCTCTGTATCTGTCAGTTTCCACAAATCAGATACCAAATAGGCTTTGAACTTATGGCTTTTCTTTTCAAATAAAAGTCTGAGAAAGGTTATGATTGAAATTAAAACGTATATTATAAACTATCTGTATATCACATTGTACATGGAGTTCCCTTAAAGATGATCATAAATATTCTGTTCTCACCAGAAATATTAAATTGGAAATTTTACAGTATTTTTTTTTTTGCTAAAATGATTATATAAGGAAGATATAGGAATAGAATTCAGTTGTTTGTGTTTGGGGAAGAGGAGAGAGTTTACATTGGAAGTGTGGAAATGGCAAATTATGAAAGAAACACTGATTAGTGTCCAAACAACATTGTTAAAAAAGACATGGTTTCACATAAATTAAGAGCCAAAAAAAAAAAGTAGATAAATATATCCTTAGAGGTTGTCTCATAGTTTTCTCTTTGGTTTTTGATGTTATTTGGTCTCTTTAGATTTTCTCCCACTATGAAGAGAGAGCAGCCATCTTTAGAGATGATATAATTTGCAGATTTGGCATCTTTGGTAACTACTGAGATTGTTTTTAAGTTTGGTTTGATTATAAGTTACAGTTCTGCTAGGATGAGAGTAAGTTAACTAGATGATGTGAGAATGAGATCATTTAATTTTGAAGAGTATAATTACCGCTGCATGTAAATTAATAGTATTGATAGTCTGATTTACATCTTCATACTCTGTGAGTTTATGGTCCTGCATAACTGGGAAACTGGGAAAAGATTCATGGAATAGTTGAAGAACAGTTTTCCATCAATTTTAATGCTTTATGTTAATTTTCTTATAGGGAGTATATAGTAGATATCTTCTGGGAAATAATTCATCCAAGGATAGCTTTCTATTTGCCAGTATGGTACAACCTCTGGCAGAAACTGGATTACAACTCTCAAAAAGGTGAGGAAAACATTCCTTGGCTAACTGAAATTAGAGCTTTAGTTAGGTATGTGAAGGTTATAAACTTTGGGGGAAATAGGAATTATTTCCATTCCTTACACCAGGATTGCTGCTGCCAATCAAGATAGTTTTTTGTTTTTTTGTTTTTTTGGTAAATCTTTTATATGCATAAACACAAATTGACCTCAAATATAAAGAAAATCCACATATTTGTGACTAAAAGTATTTTTTGTCCCTCGGATATGTAAACTTTCAAAGGTATAAATAAAATTCTCAAATTTTTCCTTCTAATATTTAAGTCACATATACCTACTCAAAATTGTGTACTATATAAGCTGATTTATTCCTTTAGAATTTATTATTCTCTTCTACTATCACATTTCATGAAATTTTATTCAGACATTTCATAAGCATCTTTGAAATTCAGGTCTACATCCTTGGAACACTTTTTAAGGCATCTAACACAGTTTGCCAGAGTCCTCACTGGAGCACTTTCTGAGGCATCTATCACACTTTCCCAGGGGCATGTTGCTATTACTTACTGAGCACATGTGATGCTGTTCCAGAAATTCTGCCTAAGCCAAAAGAACCCAGGGCATAATGCTGAGACTGTTGTTTTCTTATAGCTAGATATTTGTGATCTCTACGACATAACAACCAGCTCTCATGCTTCATAATGACATTCTCTATAATGACATTCAACGGTTACATTTTTGAGGCATATAAAAGAAAATGAGTAAAGTTGTAAATGAGTAAATTTCTTTGCTTCCTCTTTTAGAAATTCCAACTAGCATTGCCTGAGGTGATTCCAGGATTATGCATATTTCCCTAGTAAAGAAATTTATTTTATGGGCATTCAGCCCATAATATGAAAGACTTGAAAAATAATTCCAAAATATGGCGTCTCCTCCTGAGGGATATTTTTGTGGAGCTGAGGAGACATCACATTATGTTCGGAAATATGAAGTAATATTTATGGATATCTTTGTAACCATTTTTCCTCTTTTTTTTATAAAGAACTTTCAATACTGCATTACTGCAGATTGATAATACCAGACAATTGTTTGTACAGACAAGGAGAGGCCAGGAAGTTCTGACTAGGGTGAAAAATTTCATGAAACAACACATCCTTCCAGCTGAAAAGGTGAGTATTGTATAAACAAACAGAATACATTCGTGCTAACGGACTATTGATGACTACCTCTGTTATTTCTGCTTGCAGGAGAGCCATGGGGTTATTTTCTTTGCAGTCAATCCTTACCCAGATTCTTCTTCTCACATTAGCACTGAGCCATAGAGTCTGAGCCTGAACAATTGCAAGTTTCTAAAATGTGCCAAGGGAATGCACAACTAAGTCTGTAAAATAAAATAAAGCCAAAGGGAATTAGCAGTTTATGAAGTTGCTGGGAGTAGTTGATGAAGACGATTTTACGGGTCTTTTCCTAGGGCGTTCACTCAGCTTTTTATTTATTTATTTATTTATTTATTTATTTTTTGAGACGGAGCCTCAAGCTATCCCCCTGGGTAGAGTGCCATGGCATCATGCTCACAGCAACCTCCAACTCCTGGGCTCAAGCGAGTCTCCTGCCTCAGCCTCCCAAGTAGCTGGAACTACAGGCGCCCGCCACAACGCCTGGCCATTTTTTGGTTGCAGCCATCATTGTTGTTTGGCAGGCCCGGGCTGGGGATTCGAACCCGCCACCTTAGGTGTATGTGGCTGGCGCCTTAGCCGCTTGAGCCACAGGCGCCGAGCCTCACTCAGCTTTTTAAATAAACAAAGTCCCCTTTGAGAATTGAATAAGACTGTAGACTACACAAGATGGACATACCAGAAAATTCTGCATGTCATTTCAAGCTTTTCACAAGTACTCTCACCCTCTCCCTCATAAGCTACTATTTTAAGGTGACGTTTCAGTTCCTTCACCGAGGGTACGGAGGCAACATGGAACATTCATTCATTCAGTTAAGAAATAATTATTGGGTACTTAGTAAAGGGTTAGACACCTGGGGAGCCACTGAATGTAAGAGAGAGAACCAGACAGACAGTGCTTATGCTTCTGTGAAGCTTAGACTTTAGCAAGAGAGACATCAAATAAGAGATGATATCCTGAGTATAGTGGCTTATGCCTGTAATCCTGGCACTCTGGGTGGTGCAGGTA